CTTGATGATCACTTATATCTTGGGAGGGGAGTTTTTAGGTAGATGAAAGGAAAGTTTGCCTGGAAGCATAGGCCTCAGAGGGAAAAGTAGAAGGCATGAGATGGTACATCCTGCCTGTGGTGGTTTGAATTCGAAATTTCCCCCATAGGATCAGGCATTTGAACACTTGGTTCCCAGTTGGTGATGCTATTCAGGGTGGGGTAGAGTTAGTGTGATCTTACCAAGTAAGTATGTTACAGTGGGCCAGCTTTGAGAGTTCATAGCCTCACCCCACTTCCAGGTTGCTCTCTCTACTTCATGTTTGCCATTAAGATGTAACTTTCAGCTTCCTGCTCTGCTGCCTGCTGCCATGCCTCCCCAGCTGTTATGGACTCCCCCTTTGGAAACATAAGCCCAAATAAACTCTTCCATAAGTCAATTTTGATCATGGTGTTTTATCACAACAATGGAAAAGAAGCTAATACATTGCCTATAACCACCAGCAGCAGCAACCAGCCCCTTCCGTTGCATTTGAACCGCTGTAGTTGGTAGTAAACAAAGGTACTGAGGTAAATGTCTTGAGATTTTGGAGCCTTGGAACATAACTGAGCTGCTTTGGGGTGGAGGGAAAAGATAGCACAGACTGGAGAAAGGAGACACTATCCTCACCCCTGCACAGAAGTCACACTTGCTTGTACGCTCCCCACCAAATGCAGCAACATTTGCAATTAGGAACAGCTGCAGCCTTATACTGACAGGGTTTCATCACAAAGGGCACTGCCACCTCAGCAGGGAGGAAGCAGGGCTTTGTGGGCAACAAGGGGTCAACAAGGGACATCCAAACCACAAGAAGAATGTGTGGACTACAACTGCTCTGTTACTAACAAACAGATTTGTGACACTTTGAAGCCACAGTCAATGCTGAGGTTAAGCTTCTAGTTCTAGGAACTGAACCCAAATCCTCTGTAAAAGCACCCAGAGCTCTTATCTGCTGAGCCCTCTCTCCAGCATCCCCTCTTTTTTTTTTTTTTTTTTTTTTTGAGACAGGGTCTCCCTGTAGTTCTAGAGATTTGCCTGTCTCTGCCTCCCAAGTGCTGTGATTAAAGATGTGTACCACCATGCCCAGCTTGTATTTTGTTTTGTTTTGTTTTGTTTTGTTTTTTTTGTTGTTGTTGTTAGTTTTTTTTTTTTCCTCTGTCTTTTTGAAGCAGGGTCTCCCTGTAGCCCCAGCTGTCCTGGAACTCACTATGTAGACCAGGCTGGCCTTGAACTCACAGAGATCTGCCTGCCTCTGCCTCCCAAGTTCTGGGACTACAGGCATGTGCCACCACACCGGCTTCAGCTTGTGTTTTTTAAAAATATTTTTTTAACGTGTATGCATGCATTGCCTGCATGTAAGTACACTTGTGTCATGCAATGCCCATGGAGGACACAAGAGGCTGTCGGATCCCCTGGAACTGGAGTTATGGACTGTTGTTAACTGCCATGTGGGTGCTGGGATTCGAACCTGGGTCTTCTGCAAGAACATTCAGTGTTCTTAACCACTGAGCCATTTCTCTAGCCCCATTGTGTTGTTTTTATAAAGAATGTTTTTTTCTTTCTTTCTCTTTATTTTTTTCTTTTCCTTCTTTCCTTTCTTTCTTATTTATGCATTTATTTATTGGTCTTTTTTGAGACAGGGTTTCCCTGTAGTCCCAGCTGGCTGGAACTCACTATGTAGACCGGGCTGGCCTTGAACTCACCTGCCTCTGCCTCAGGAGTGCTGGGATTAAAGGCATGAGCTACCACGCCTGGATAAGAATACTTTTTAATTATCTTTCTGAAAGGATGTCACACCACAGAGAGTAGCAAGGATTTCCATAAGCTCTTTACTCTCAGATACATCAATTGTAAAAACATTTTGCCTATCATCTATCTATCTATCTATCTCTCTATCTATCATCATCTATCTATCTATCTATCATCATCTATCTATCTTCTATCATCTATTTTACCTGAATAATTTGAGTTCCAAGTTTTGAAATTGTTCTCATTCCACATCAAATGCCTTAACATCTATTTCCTAACCGCAGTGGAAAGAGAACTGACACCTGAAAGCTGTCCTCTGACCTTCATCTTGGAGCCTGCACTAATACATATCCACACACATAATACTAAATAAATAAACACATTTTTGTTGTTGTTTTGAGACAGGATCTCCTGTAGTCCCAGCTGGCTGGAACTCACTATGTAGACCGGGCTGGCCTTGAACTCACCTGCCTCTGCCTCAGGAGTGCTGGGATTAAAGGCATGAGCTACCACGCCTGGATAAGAATACTTTTTAATTATCTTTCTGAAAGGATGTCACACCACAGAGAGTAGCAAGGATTTCCATAAGCTCTTTACTCTCAGATACATCAATTGTAAAAACATTTTGCCTATCATCTAATCATCTATCTATCTATCTATCTCTCTATCTATCATCATCTATCTATCTATCTATCATCATCTATCTTCTATCATCTATTTTACCTGAATAATTTGAGTTCCAAGTTTTGAAATTGTTCTCATTCCACATCAAATGCCTTAACATCTATTTCCTAAGAATAGGATATTCACTTAAAAAATTAGCTAATTCAGAAATTTAGTTCTGATATAACACTATTGTCTAATACATAGTACATATTCAAAATTTGCCAGTTAACTGAGTCGGTTATAGCAACCTTTCTCCCCTTCTCACTCCCAGGATTTAGAGATACTGAATTTACTTGTCACTTTTATCTCCTCTAAACTTTACCTTTCATGACATCTACATTTTTGAAGATGCCAGTTTTGAAAATATCCTTCAATCTGAGTTTGGAGTATTAATTAGAACTTTAAACTTATCTAGGTTTTCTTGCCTCAAAACAAAAGATATAATTGAGAGTTGTCATACCCCTCTAACTGATCACTGTTGCTTCAAAAGCAGCTAAAACTTAAAAAGAACTAATTGGGGGGCTGGAAGATGGCTCAGTGGTTAAGAACACTGGTTGTTCTTGCAGAAGACCCGGGTTTGAATCCCAGCACCCACATGGCAGCTAACAACTCTCCGCAATTCCAGTTCCAGGGGATCCAACAATCCAACAGCCTCTTCGGACCTCTGCAGGAAATTGCACAACACAGGTGCACTTACCTACATGCAGGCAATACACGCATACACATAAAAAATTTTAAAAAAAAGAACCAATCGGCAAAACTAGTTCATTTTGAGGTATTAATGACTGAAGACTATCCCCTAATTCAACAAATCTGCAGAAATCACCATAGAGGCAAAATTTAACCTGAATGATGAAAAATATGTTTTTTAAGGTCATAAAACCTTATGCTTTTTAATTACAAGTGTGTGTTGCTTATCATATAGACATCTTTATGCATGTACTGGGGTAAGGGGTGATGTAGTTTCACTTCAAATTATTTGGAGAAGGGCCCTTCCTGTGACACACTATAGAAGTAGCCTGCTTTCAGCAGGTCTTACCTGAGATCTACCTATCACCTAGCAAGGCCTCTTGAGGAGCTAGATAGCAGAACTGTTACATTTTAATTTAAAAAATTATCATAGCTGGGCATGGTGGCACATGCCTTTAATCCCAGCACTTAGGAGGCAGAGGCAGGATCTCTGTGAGTTCAAGGCCAGCCTGGTCTACATAGTGAGTTCCAGGACAGCTGGGGCTACAGGGAGACCCTGTCTCAAAAAGACCAAAAAAAAAATTATCATTGTGTGTATGATGGGGTGGGATGGGGCATGTGTGCCACAGTGTGTGGAGGTTGTGTGGTCAGATCTCGCCTTCCACCTTACGTGGGTTCTGGGAATCAAACTCAGGTCCCCAGGCTTGTTTCACACCGATCTTTACCCCTTTAAGAATCTCATGGGCCCAGAACTGTTAAGTTTTTAATAAACATGCTGTTTGGAAAGAGAAAGCACCAATCAAAACTCAGTTTGGTTTGGGGCAGCTGGGGTGCTGTGAGGGTACCAAGTACATAGTTGTGCTGTGAACATAAAGGAGAGGGCGAGAAAGAGAAATGGGATTCAAGTACAAACCTTCATCTTTCTTCAAGTTTGCCCAAGGACAGTCTTTTTCTGGTTTATCTTCCCTTCCCCAAACAAGCAGACACTGGTCAAAGTTTATTCCAAAATATAATTTCTTTTAATTTTTAAAATTTATTATTTTTATTTTATGTGAATGAGTGTATTATCTGCATGCATGTAAGTGCACCCGTGTTGTGCAATGCCCACGGAGGTCAGAAGAGGGCATTGGATTCCCCTGGAACTGGAGTTACAGATGATTGTTAAGTGCCATGTGTGTGTGCTGGGAATCAAACCCAGGTCATCTGTAGGAGCAGCCAGTGCTCTTAACTGCTAAGCCATCTCTCCAGCCCCAAAATATAATTTCTTGATGAGGATTCAAACAGATTTTACTTTAAGCCTATAAACTTGAAGCAAATATCTGTTGTTATACTATTCGCTATGGTGGCTTCACTTTTCCTTTTACCATTTAACACGGAGGAAGCACACTGGCAGCACAATTTTATCTGTCTTCTTCTCTCACGCATCCATCCCCAGACTTCGCATGTCTTGTGTCATGTTTATCTTTTCTTTGTTTGTAGCAGCATCATTTGTGCATCATTTTTGAGAAGAACAAGTGTAAATTACTGACCACATATTCGGAACCCTGGTTCCTAAGTCACAGGCAAGATGAAGGTACACAAACTGGAGGCAGTGTTTTTCAGAGAGAGCAAACAAACAAGGATGTGTTTCTCATATTCACCCTCAGAATACAAGGTCCCCACAGGTGAGTTGTAGTTAACAGAGCATCCAGGAAATTTTTAAATTGAGTTTTTGAGCATGGAACTAAGTTGAAAGTTTGAAGGGAAATATTTCATTTTACCAGCATCTGTATGATGATTCCAGGAGCAACAGTGAAGTATTTGTCAAATTAATTTTTACCAGGTGCTTAAAAGGTTAATTTTAAAGTAAATTAGGTATTATAGCTAAAAATATTTAGGTTAGCTAGTTCAGTTAATAATTAAATTATTCTTTAGAGTCAAATTCTCTATAAGGTTTTTTGCTTCAATCATTACAATTTCTTTTAAACTTCACTTTGTAGATGCACCTGCTCTGTAAGTTTACCAATGAGTATTAAAATGAATATCATTAATGTCTTCATTTGGCTCATAATGGTCTCTTTAAAATGCTTTTCATTCTAATTTGGAAGAGGGGGCTAATACCGTTGATGTCTCAGTATGAATACAAATGATTGAAATAGCCCATTGAAAGATTTTATTTGCATTAATATTCTGTGGAATAAGAATGATGTAGCTACTATGGGATTTTTGTAAACAGAAACATGTAATCCATTCTCTTCATTGTTGACAGAAGCAATTCTAGTAATGGAATTTAGGATACTTCATCTTCTAATCCAGTAGTCTTAGACAAGGGAGAGAAAACAAATGCTTTCATCTTTTTCAGAGGTGTTCGTTTCTTTTCTTAAATATGTCTGGGTTCTCATTTCTCTCTGCTTTCCTCAGATGAGCTTCCACTCTGGAGCTGTCTTCCAAGGAAGTATCTACCAGGAATCAGGCTACCCTGAGGCCAGTAAAAAGGCCAGAACTGAAAACGATGGTTGCAGTTTGGGGGAAGGAAAGGTCCATTAGGAAATCTAGGGTAGACTCTGGGCCTTCTTTGTGGAAAAAAAAAAGTATATGTGGGTATCCTTGTGATGGGCTGGGCCCTTGTTACTGAATGCCTTGTGGATGGAGGCGTGAGTGTGAAGATCCGGCAGTCTGTAGGGTTCACATTATTTGGTGAGCTTCCAGGAGAGGTGACTACCTCTTGTCCTGTGGAAAGGAAAATGAAAGTCAGGAAACAGCTTGGCAACAGAAGCAGATCCTTAGGGTGAGGGGTGAAGAGGAAGTAGGAAGAGAGAAAGAAGTTTCAAAGCATGTTTGAGAGAACTACCATTGGGTCAAGGAAACGAAGCGTGGACACACCATTATGGCTCCACATTTCCATCTGGGGAAGTGTCCCAAAAGAAATGAATGCACATGTATTAGTTACTTTTCTCTTGTTGTGATAGAAACATCAACCAAAGCAACTTATAGAAGGAAGAGTTTATTTGAGCTTATGGTTCCAGGAGAATTAGTTTGTCATGGTTGGGGAGGCATGGTGACAGGAGGTGGCTGGAGCAGCAGCAAAAGCAGAGTGCTCACATCTTCAAGCAGGCACTAGAAGCAGAGAGTGACTGGAGATCTGGCAAGGCTTCAGAACTCCCTAAGCCTGCCCCCAGTGACATGCTTCCTCCAGCATGGCCACACCTTCTAAGACCTCCCAAAACAGCACCACCAACTGGGAACAAAAATGTCCTAATACTTGGAGCCTATGAGGGACATTCTCATTCAAATCACCACAGCATATTTATCCAAAAAGACTAGTTCAAGGATGTGCATAGTAGCCTTACTTATACCAGCCTAAGCAGTACAAATATCCATCAATAGATGGCTAAATAAATTGCATATATTCATACAATAAAATAGTGCCCAGGAATGAAAAGAAGTAACTGCTAATAACCATTGCATGTTATGTTGAGTGAAGGAAATTAGATACAAAAGAGTGCTTACTGTAAGTTTGAGAATAAGCAAAACAAATCTATGGTTAAAAAAATAAGTCAAAACAGAGGCTGGAGAGATGGCTCAGGGGTTAAGAGCACTGGCTGCTCTTGCATAACACCTGGGTTCAGTTTCCAGCACCCACATGGTGGCTAACAACCGTCCACAACTCCAGTTCCAGGAGATGCAACACCTTTTTCTGGCCTCTACAGGCATTGCACGTATGTGGTGCATTTACATACATGCATGCAAAACATTACATAAATAAAAAAATTTTCAAATACTACTGAAGTTTTTTTCATATGTGTGGGTGCATGTGTGGGCATGTGTCTATGGAAGGCAGAGGTTGATGGAAGTTGATTTTGGGTGTCTTCCTCACTTGTTCTCCACTGTTTACTGAGGAGGGTCTCTCGCTGAACCCAGGACCCACTGATTCTGCTAGTTCAGGTAGCTAGCTTGCCCTGGGGATACCCTGACTCCAGTTCCTAAGCACTGGCATTCAGGGGGCCACCATGCCTACTCTGATTTTATGTGGGGTCTTGGGATCTTTTTTTTTTTTTTTTTTTTTTTTTTTTGAGACAGGGTCTCCCTGTAGCCTCAGCCAGCCTGGAACTCACTATGTAGACCAGGCTGGCTTTGAAGTCAGAGAGATCAGCCTGCCTCTACCTCTGCCTCTGCCTCCAAAATACAGGGATTAAAGGTGTGCACCACCATGCCCAACTTTAAACTTCAGTTCTTATCATTTTGAGGAAAGCACTTTATCCATTGAGCCCTTGTCCTACGTCCCAGCCTCAGTTCTTACTTTCCAGCACTGGTCCTTATGAGGTCTGGCTATATGGAAGGTTTTTAGAGATATCCTTGTAATGACCATTCCACTTCTCTTAATTTCCTTTTATTTTTTGTGTATATGAACATTTTGCCTACATGTATGTAAGTGTACCACATGCATGCAATGCTGGAGGAGGTCAGGAGAGGGCATCCCAGGTCCTTTGCAAGAACAGCCAGTGCTCTTAACCACTGAGCATCCAGTCCCCAGAACTACTCTATTAAAGCTAGCTTGAGTGGATATCTGTCTTGAATAAGTCACTGTTGAGTGCTCAGGATTTAATGGGACACCCATATCTCCCCTTGCAAGGCTTAGGGACTAAACATTGCTGAAGAGAGAGCAGAGAGAATGTAAGAGTAAAACAGCTGGGAGGAGAACTGTGAGATGCTATGTTATGGGCATGACATGGCCGTGGCACTCATAAATTTACAACCTGCTGTTGCCTACACAGGGCCTACACAGGACTGAACCAGTAAACGTTCAGTCACAAATGAGGGAGGAGCTAAAGGCTGTCAGTGGAGGAGTGCTAGGGAAGAAGTGATTATTTTCAGTGATACAGAGTTACGCTCTAGTGGATAGCTTCAAACCTGTGCCTGTGTGAGTAGTCACAGCAAAAACAAAACCTGAACAAAAACACATGAAAGTGGAATGGGGATTTCACGGGAGGAAGTGGGAGGGGCTGGGGAGCTGTTGGGGGTGGGGTAAGAAAGGGTGGAAGAATGAGTGTGACCAGAATGATATACATGTATGAAATTGTCTGATGATGAATTTATAATTTTTATTTTTTAAATTTTATTTATTTTTATTTCATGTGTATGCATGTATTGCCTGCATATAGGTGAGTGCACCCATGTCATGCAATGTCCGAGGAGGTCTGGGACTGGAGTTACAGACAGTTGTTACCTGCCATGTGGGTGCTGGGATTTGAACCCAGGTCTTCTGCAAGAACAACCAGTGTTCTTAACTGCTGAGCATCTCTCTAGCCCCGAATTTATAATTTTTAAAAAGGTCAGTCCTTTCTCCCGCACACACCCAGGCTACCGAGTATTGAAATTCTATGACTGAAATTAGATCAATAAACTTCGAGCTATAGAAGATGATTAAATCCACCAAACTCATTCTTTCTGGTAAGTTCTTAACTTTCATAGCATGAAAACTCTGTACAGACTCTAGTCACTAGGGGAGAAGTTAGCCTCATAATTAAGCTCCATCCTGACATCTTGACAGGAAGGCCTTGAGCTCTGCCACTCAGTAAACTGTCCAACTATTACAAACACCAACATTCCTTACCTTTCAAGTTCATCTTATTTCTTGAAGCTGGAAGCTATTTTCTAAGTCCCATGGCCATTGAGTGCCAAGGGGTAATAAGCAAGTTTTCTGCCAGGTGTGTGATGTTGTATTGTAGTTCAGTGCTCTGTTCTGGGAATTTACAAGGGCTCAAGATCAAAGTACAGCTTGCCTCTGTCACCCACCCAAGACTGGACAAGACCATATAAATGTGTTTTTATTTTTTTCCAGGAAACTAAACACATGGTGATTATACTGGGTCACTGCTTAGTAGCCCAAGTGTTCTAAAATGTAGAAGCCCTAGGGACTGATTTGTGAATCTGTAATATGTTACAAAGTCAAAGCCACACGTGTGAGTTGATGCCATTTATGGTCTTTGCTTTGGCTCAGTTGATCTTGCTCATCTATTTTTAAAAATATTATTTTTATTTTATGTGTATGAATGTATTGCCTGCATGAGTATAAGTGCACCCATATTGTGTAATGCCCAAGAAAGTCAGAAGGTGTCTGATCTCCTGAAACTAGAGTTGCAGACATCCGTTAGCCACAGTGTGGGTGGTGGGACTTAAACCTGGGTCCATTGAAGGAGCAGTCAGTGCTCTTAACTGCTAGGCCACCTCTCCAGTCCCTGCTCCCTATTCTTTTGTTTGGTCCTGTTCTGCTTGCTTGTCACTGTCTTCATAATCTCTGTTTTCTCCTCAAATCTTAAAATTTCATTCTTCATTTATTTCAAGAAGACTACTTTCCAAGATTAGTTCACTTTGTATAGAGAAAACTGAGGTGATCAGGAATTTTGGTTCCTTCTTCTCTTTTTAAAGAGGTCTGTATATTATATACTCAGTTACCCAATTAGACACTGACTCTGCCTCCTCCATTCCATAAATGTTACTTTGGCAAAAGTCCTCAATAGTTCTGGGCTTAAAATTTGCTTCCAGATACCTAGAGTTCCAGTTCCTGCCTTGTTTCCCTAGATCTCCCATCTAAGGCCCATGTTTGATCTCCTTCAGAGGGGGCCTTCCCTGCCTGGAATTTGAATGATGGCCCCTTGCAAGAGCTTCCATAGCATCCTTTAAGTTCACTTGCATCTTACTCATCAGCCATGTGACTGTCATTCTTGTAACATCCTCATGACTGGCCCTAGCCTGGTGCCTATGGAAGAACTGAATTGATTGAGAGAAATTGCCATTTCTATATAATATATTTCTACAAAATACATTTCTACACAAGTTACCATGTTCCTACCTTTCAGAGATAGTGTGATGATTAACAAATAAATGTTTCCCTTATCATACATATTGATATGCCAGCAAATGCACTGAACATCAAAGCTAAGAGTTCTTTAAGCTTAGTAAGACCAAAGTAATTCAAATATTTGAATATAGATTAAAAACAATTAGAGAGGCAGAGCAGTATTAAAGCTCCAGATCCAGGCTCCTTGAACTCTGCTTCTAACTGTGTGACTATAGGCAGCTCCCTTAACCACCAAGCCTTTTTCCTTAATTGTAAGATGGAAAGAATAGTATGACTTACCCATTTGGCTTGTGAGATTATCCAAAATAAGATAAACTCTATTCAGAATGTTTCGTGATGTACAGTACACATTTAGCTAGTGTTAGCTATTGTTGTGATTAATTATGAATGTTTTAGAAAGATTTCAGTAGCATGAGCTTCATTTTATAGGTCCATCTGGTTATATTTTATATGATCTGTGTACTGAAGTGAGGATTGGACTAAACGGCACAGATATTATAAGGCTAGGACCACTGTGAAGACAGGAGGGTATTGACTTGTTGGCCTTGGCTGATTTCCTCAGTACCTAGATTACTTCTTGGCCAACAATGGTTGTTAGTGAATACTTGATGCATTCAGTGAATGCCTCAGCAGACATAGAATATTCTCTATGTATTTTTGTGGTACTTAGTATAATAAAAGCCAAAATATTGTTTGTAGTTTGGACATCAATTTTAAATGGGCTTATTATAGTCTAGACATGAAATTTATAACATACCAAAAACTAGCACTTCTTTAAAAAATGGTAATGATGAGAAGATCTTTTTTAAATTACCTGTACTCTGTGGTTATATGGGTAGACAATAGCTGGTTTGCAGTGAATTATACCAATTTTTAGAGGAGCAAACGCTGTACTTGATGTTTAAGTAGACAGTTCCTCTCTTATATAGCACATGGAGTCCTGGAATTCTCATGCCCATTCAGAGTTCAATCACAAAGAAATATCAGTCCTGTGACTAACTTACAATAACTGCAACTCAGCTCCTTCTGTGGACTCAGAGAATGATTAACTATTTTGTCAAATCTTTCATTTAAAAGATAAAGAATTTAGGGCCTAGAAAGTGTCCCACAGGCCTTTCTTATATGCTGTAAATGAAATCATTTCAACAGTATGTGTGTTCTATGCCAGGTGCCAAACACAGAGTTGACCAAGACACAGGGCCTGCCCCCAAGGAATACAAGAATGCTGCAGGTATGCAGATCTGCAATACAGAGTGGACTGGAACACATGCTGTGGCTGATGTACAAATGACAAAGACATCAGAAAGAAAACCTGCAACTTTAAAACACTGTGTCTTAAAAAGACTTGTGGGGCTGGAGAGATGGCTCAGTGATTAAGAGCACTGGCTGCTCTTGCAGAGGACCCAGGTTCAGTTCCCAGCACCTACATGGCAGCTAACAACAGTCTGTAACTCCTGTTCCAGGGGACCTGATGCCTTTCTCTAGCCTCTGTGGGCACTGAACAACATGGGTGCACTTACATACAGTCAGGCAATACACTCATACACATAAAATAAGAAGTGATGCAGAGCATGGTGACACACGCCTTTGATCCCAGCACTTGGGAGGCAGAGGCAGGCAGATCTCTGTGAGTTCAAGGCCAGCCTGGTCTACATAGTGAGTTCCAGGACAGCTGGGGCTACAGAGAGACCCTGTCTCAAAAAGACCAAAAAAAAGTGATAATAAAATATTTTTTTAAAAAGACTTGTGAAAGTAATATTATAGTGGCATTTAAATGCTATGACTTGAAGCAGAATTGCAGCAGGCAGATGTGGAGGCAGGAGGAGGGAGCAGCTCCTGCCATGATGGAGGGCACAGGTGAGTATGGGCCACATGTGACCCTGGGGGGCAGTTAGTCCCAGAACATGTAGAAATGAGTGATGAATGAGTCCAGGGCTGCCAAATTTAGAAAAAAATCTCACATTTCAAGTGATATTTCTACATACAAATAATAGAAACATCTAACCTCATATTAACTTGTTTTGTTCCATAGTTTTAAATCCTCCCAAAGAATGGAAAAGGCACAAAATTGACTCCATGACCACATATGCCCATAAACTGGAAGGGGCGGGTAGTGAGTTCTATTCTATGACCCCTCTTTCAGCAGGTGATGACAGGAGCCTTGTACTGGGAATTGGGGGAGGTGTTGCCCTCTGGTGGCTGTACTCGGTATAGAGACTGGATTAGGGGATCTTTGGGTATCCTACAACCAGTCTCTATCCCTCTTCAGTTTGTCTTGAGCTTTGTGGGATGACAACAGGGGAAGATATTAGGGTATGAGTGGGTTTTTAGCTGAACCTCTTCAAGGCATCCCCAGACCAGGTATGTGAGGGGGTGAAGGGATCTCTTTGACTCTGGGTTCCTCCCAAATGAATTGCACCTAGTTTTGAAATTAAGGTTGACTATGGAGAAAAACACTAGATAGGCCCCCAGGATCTCCTTTCTTTGCCTTTTCTCCTGTCTTCCATGTCTTCCTTCCTGTAAGGGTTTGCAAACTGTAAGACTGAGGCCATTTGCAGATGCAGTAGTGGGTGAAAAGGAAAGGGAATCGAAGCAATGGAAAAAAAATCAATCTCATGTAATCCTACAGAAAGAAATCTGTGCTCACCTTGGTATCACCAAGACAGAGCTCACCAGGTGTGATTAACTAAAACAATGAACAGAGACCAAGCACCCACCATGTACAAATGACTAGCTGCTGGAGATGTAAGGAGGTGGGCAGTGCTGAACTAATGGATGGAAATTATTAGTGATAACAATAATAGCAAAACTAGTATTTATGTAGGGCTTTCTTTGTGTGTGTTTTTGGTTTTTTTTCTTTTTTCTTTTTGGTCTTTTTGAGACAGGGTCTCCCTGTAGCCCCAGCTGGCCTAGTACTCACTATGTAGACCAGGCTAACCTTGAACTCACAGAGATCTGCCTGGCTCTGCCTCCGGAGTGCTGGGATTAAAGGAGTGAGCCACCACACCCAGCTTGTGTAGTGCTTTTTAAAAAAGATTTTTTTTTTTTTTTGGTCTTTTTGAGACAGGTTCTCCCTATAGCCCCAGCTGGTCCGGAACTCACTATGTAGACCAGGCTAACCTTGAACTCACAGAGATCCACCTGCCTTTGCCTCTCTGGTGCTGGGATTTAAGGCATGAACTACCATGCCCAGCTAAAAGAGATTTTAAAATAAATTTTTGTGAATTTTTCATACTTTATATTTTGATCCTATTTAGACCTCCTCCCCTATCTGCAACTCCCTTAATACCTCCTGCCTGATTTAATGCAATATATATATATATATATATATATTCCTATTGAACAAAATTTGTGTCCCCAAGTGTCCTTCAGTGTGGTCCATTCACTGGAGCCTGGCTAACCTACCTAGAGTCACAACCTTAAAGAAGACTAATTCTCCCTCTCTCCAAAGCTATTCCTCAGCTAGGGATGGGGCTTGTTACCCCCTTCCCCGCTTCCATGCTGGACTTTTGTCTGGCTTGAGTTGCGCAGTGTTTTCAGTGTGAGGTTTTTCACATAGAATATTGGTAGTGTCACTTCACATGAAGACCCTGATACTCAGAAGCTATGAGTGTCTGAAATCATAGAGCTAATGCTGAGACTAGGGCACAGGTCTTCAGACAAGAAATCCAGCCTTTTAAAAATCACACAGACTGATGGGGTCAGATGTAAATATTTCCATTTTATGGGAATGTGTACTCATAGAAGTCAAATTCGTCTTTCTATATAACATTAATTAGATGACCCATAGTAAAAGAAAAACAAAAGCCTTACCTTCTACCACAGTTACCACCAACCAGCAGACCAGCACCCAGAAGGAGAAGCAGAGCCTGGGAGCCATGGCTTCTGCCTTGAGCAGTTACAGCCCTGAACCTGATGCTGCTTTAAAGGGGAGTAGTGAGTCACCAGCTGCCTGAGTCAGGTAATTTGCATTTGCATAGCAGACCACAGCCACCTGGACCTGCTGTGTGAGAGTAAGAAAATCCTCAAGGAAATACCAGACAGTATTCATCAACCAGAAGCTTCTTGGAAGTCCAGCCACGCATCATTCATCTCTCCTTCACTTTGGAGAACCATACCCTCACCATCCTTTCAGTGCCAAATACTTCTCCCCACTCAGTGCTTTTCTTCACCTATATGCATGGGTCTTCCTCTTCAAGGGAAAGGAACTGTCTGGGTGGCACTCAACTCAGCTTCTTCCTGTGTGTCTGAATAGGCTTAGATTCCAGACCCACATGTTGGCAGTCTCTGCTCCGCTTTTGCTCAGGAGTGAAGGGCCAGAGTCAGAAGCGGCTCTCTGTGTGGCCACCATGGTCACTGTTTAAACAAAAATGAAAATTTGGAAGCATAACAGTGAGTCTTCCTTCTAGCTCACCAACTTGCCTGTGATATGGACAGGACCATCTGTGTCCTGCTGGAGTCTAAGGGGACTCCCAGTTGCCAGAGGAATGACAGGAGGTAATCATAGGTGAGAGTCTGACTTTGCAGTTAGAAAAAACCCTCTGACCTCAATTCCCTTTGTTACTTGTCATCGATTATTTGTTCTAGCTAGCATGGTGGTACTTGAGAGGTCAGGTGAGAATGGCTTGAACCCATGAGTTCTAGACTAGCCGGGGTAACATAGTGAGACCCCGTCTCAAAAGCAAACAAAAAATACCCATTCTTATTATCAGGCCTGGCCATTTTTATTGAAATTTTTTTTTTATTTTTAAGAGCGGGAGAGATGAATCAGCAGTTAAGAGCCCTGGCTGCTCTTGCACACGACCTACCACCTACACAGTGGCTAACAATCATTCATAACACTCCAGTTCCAGAGGATCTGACACCCTTTTCTGGCCTCCACAGGCATTATACAACAGGAGTGTACTTAAATACATGTGGGCAAAACACCCATGACAAAATAAAAATAGAAAAATTTAAATTTATTTTTATTCATGTGTATGTGTGTGCAGGTGACTGTGGAGGTTAGAAGAGAGTGTTGGATCCCCTAGAGCTGGAGTTATAGGTGGTTGTGGGTGCGGGAAACTGAACTCAGGTCCCCTGGAAGAGCAACAAGCACTCTTAACTGCTGAACCATCTCTCTAGCCCCAGAGACCTTTTTTTTTTTTTAATGTGTATGCATGTATTGCGTGCATGTCGGTAAGTGCACCCGTGTAGTGCAATGCCCGCAGTCAGAAGAGGCTGTCAGATCCCCTGGGACTGGAGTTACAGGCAGCTCTTAGCTGCCATGTGGGTTCTGGGATTCGAGCCTGGGTTTTCTGCAAGAACAACCAGTGTTCTTAACTACTGAGCCATTTCTCCAGCCCTGAGAGACCCGATTTTAAAGTGGGGTTTGTAGGAGTTACTGTTCTATTACTGTGACAAAATACTTGAGAATCTACTTCTTTTGAGTCTGTGGTGAGAACGTTGTTGCAAAAAACTTGAGAATCTTTTCTTTTGAGTCTGTGGTAAGAATGTTATTGCAGGAGCAGAGCTGTTCATCTCATGGGGACCAGTAAGCAAAGGAGGGATTAAGGTCCCAGTGTCTCCTTTAAGGGCACCACCCCCAATAACCTCATTGCCTTTCACTAGGCTTCAGCTGGTCAAAGTTCCACCACCTACCAGTGGTGCTCCAGGCCTGGGATCAAGCCTTCAACACGTGGCCCTTTGAGGACATTCAGAATTTGAACTAGAGCAAGTGCTCCCTCCAAGGACTGTGAATAAAAGAGATAATTGATACAATGCTCAAGCTATTGTGCTGGCCTAGGAAAGGATGTGTTTGTGGTTTTTATTAACTTATAACTTCAGTTCAGAATTTATTCTCTTAGGAGGTTGTGCTTGCCAGAACATTAAGTCATTCTAAAGACCTCTGCTCAGTGTTTTCCTTAGCAATTGAGAAAGAACAGAAACAAAGTCCTAGGCTTTGAAGGGTGACAGTTTAACAAGGGAGATGGTGCAAACTGAGGCTTAAGGTGAATTTTAGAAGGTGAATAAACACAAATGAGATTTTAGTCTAGACAGAGTTCTAGAATTTTTTTTTTGAGGTAGGATTTCACTATATTGCTCAGGGTGATCTTGAACTTGTGGACTCAAGTCATTATCCTGCCTCAGTCTCTTAAGTAACTGGAACTAAAGATTTGTGCTACCAGAATATGCCAGAAGCTATTCCAAAGGATTGGAGTACAGACAAAAGTACCTGCCCCAATGTTTACATTAAAAAATTTTTTTTCTTTATTTTTTTAAAATTTTATGTCTATGAGTGTATTGCCTGCATATGTGTAAGTGCACCCATGTTGTGCAATGCCCTCAGAGGTCAGAAGGCATTGGATTCCCCCAGAACTGGAGTTACAGGTGGTTGTTAGCCACCATGTAGGTGCTGGGAATCGAACCTGGGTCCTCTGCAAGAGCAGTCAGTGCTCTTAACTGCTGAGCCATCTCTCTAGCCCATGTTTACATTTTAATGCTGTGAAATAACACAGGAAAAAAATTATTTACTGTGTTAGGATATGCTAAAGAAAAAAAGATGTTCAGGGTAAGGAATATGGGGAGGTTGGAATTTTAATTCAAAGATGATATTTGAACAAAGACTTGAGGGGGGTAAGGAAGTCATGTATGTGGATATCTGGGGCAAGAGTGAATCAGATAAATGGTAGAGCCAGTGCAAAGGCCCTGAGGTAGATGTAAAGTTGCATATAACACCCGACAAGGAGATTGTTGTAGCTGGGCAGAGTAAGTCAGAAGACAATCACCACAGAAGAAGTGGAAGACAACCAGGAGGCTGGCTTGCTATTCTGAGAGCAATGGGGGGGGGGTTACTGGAGGGTTTTAGAGAGAGGCACAACATGATCCCACTTTCATGTTAAAAGGATACATCTGACCACTGAATGGTGGGTAGAAGGTTAGAGGCAAGGTGGTATGGTTATAGCAGGCAACTGCAATAGTCTTAAGGGGAAGCAATGGGGACTCTGATTGGGTGGTATCAGTAGAGGTATGGGAAATAGAGGCAACTGGATTTCCTGATCAATTGGAAACAGTGTGAGAAATACTGGGGAGTCATAGTAACTTTGGGCTTTGGTCTGGGGTCAGGTGTGCTCAGGTGATGTGAATATGGCTGAATTTTAAAATGTCATTATAATGTTACTTTTTTCAAAAATTAAATTTGGAGAATAAAAATGCCTTACACAGCCATGGAGTCTAAGGCAGGTAGACTGCCATGAGTTCAAGGCCAGCCTGGGCTCCATTGTGAATGTAGGCCAGCTTGGACTACAGAGTGAAACCCTGTTTTAAAACAGCAACAAAACCAAAAAAGCCTTGTTTTAGAGAATAGTGTTACTTGAGTGAGTGCTAAGAAACAATATTCTTAGAGTAGTTATTAAAGAGTCTGTGGAGGGGTAGCTATGGGGTGAGTGCCTGGAAATTTTTTTATTTGGGCACTAAGAAAGATCTACCTTGTTGCCCAGTTGGGTTCTGAACAGCTTTGCCCCTGGTAGGGGAAAGGACCAGGTGAGCGGGAGAGTGGGGCTGCTGCTGTTGGCTCTGGTGGGTGCTGGCTTCTCTACCTTGCTCTGATTTCCGACCTGTAACTCTGATGTACTAAAATTGTGTTGTGAGAGCTTCTTTGGAGGTTCTGCCAGGGGAGTAGAGCTAGTTTTATACCTTGATGAAAGAATGGTCCTTTACTACTGGGGAAAGCTGTCTTCTCCCATGCAGAATGCAGTTTTGGAAGGGGTGAAAGTGGAGGGTGAGGGAGGAAGGGAACATGTTCCCTACCTCATCACATCAGCCCAACCAACCCTGGTGATCAATGTGTTTGTTCATGGATTTCACAGCCAAATTGGCCTCACACCCTGAAACTGTCCCTCCCTCCCTCCCTCCCTCCCTTTCCTTCTGAGACAGGGTCTCCCTATAGCCCCAGTTGGCCTGGGACTCACTATGTGGTCCAGGCTGGCCTTGAACTCACAGAGATTCGTCTGCCTCTACCTCTGGAGTGAGGGATTAAAGGTGTGTGCCACTATGCCCAGCTTGAAATTTGCTTCCTACTTTTCTTCTCTTGCTCTGAACTTTGAAAAGGTTGATGGCATGAACTGGGTTTTAAAAAATTAAAAATTTTGGTGAGGTTTAACATAAGACCTCCTGCTCAGGGGAGGCCAGGCTTTATTCTATGCAGGTCTTCCACTGACTAGTTGAGGCCCACCCACATGATGGAAGGTAATCTGCTTTACGAAGTCCACAGATTTAAGTGTGAACCTCATCCCAGAACACCCTCCTAGAGATATCCACAACATTATTTAGTCAAATATCCAAGCACTAAGGCCCAGCCAAACCAACACATAAAATTAACCATGATAAGATGTGAGCAAGAGGAGAGAAGGGATGAAAATTACTTGACACAGATCCAAAACACAGGGTGCAGTAGAGAGCCAGAGATGCCACTTTCCTGCCCTCCTCTCTTTCCCTGCAGGGACTTGCTGGATGGCAAGGTACATGACTGTCCATGTATGGCCTCCCCTGAGCAGGAGGGACTTCTGTAGCAGACAGCCTCAGACTTGAACTGCTATGTAAGCTCTTCTCCCAACCGCCAGTCTTCCTTCACTATCCTGCAGACTTTGAACTTGTCAGCCTTCACAGTTGCATGAGCTGACTCCTTAAAATCAGTCCCCTCTGTAAATACACATCCTATTGGTTCTGTTTTTCTGGAGAACCAACCCTATACATACCACATACTCTCTGCTTTCATGTATATACATGCTGTTCCATTGGTTTAGTGGATAGGCACTGTTTTGTAGGGTCCAGAGAATGATGTACCATAGCCATTTTTTGTTTTGAATTAGTGAGCTTATTGAGAGAGAGAGAGAGAGAGAGAGAGAGAGAGAGAGAGAGAGAGAGAGAGAGAGAAGTGGGCGCAAAAAACATACAGAAGAAAAACACAGAG